CCCCCCCCGTTTTCCTGTCCTACTTTTGCTTCCAATTGTACCTGTCAAATCCTACTAATTTTTGGAGGGCATTTAAATCAGATTATTATTTCCTTCAGAAAGCCTCTCTTGGTCTTCCTAATTAGATGTGGCCACCCCTGATTTCAAATGCTCAGTTGCAAGTGTACTTCTCTGCTGTCACTTAAAAACTGTGTATACTTATGTCCAAATGTGACTTATTAAATTTGCTAAAACTCTAGAAAACATAAACACACTTGGTAAAGTTTTGAATTCCCTGTACTGATTAGCTGAACGTTGCTTCAGGTGTCACTATATAGATTCACTCATGTGACACTAATTCGAGTTTTTTCATTTTTAAATTTATTGAAGTGCCACACAGAGGGATGATTCAATAGGTATTTTTCATTACCCTATGAGAATTTCTATGTTTGCATAATAATTTCTTTTAAAATCCTTCAACTTTGTTGAATATCTTTGAGAGCTCCTGGAATTAACCTCAGAGTCAGCTTAGAACCCAGAGAGTTGAATACATTTTGTTAATTTAAGCACATGGTCAACCTCTTTCTTGAGCCAGTAGGTGTTTCTTACAACCTCCTTCTCTCTTTTCTGCTAATTTCTCCTTGAACTGACCCTAGTCTCCCCTCCACTCAGGGTCCCAATTAAAGAGAAAAAGCACTGGATACGTGCTGATGCTGACATAGAGACAGCAGCAACTGGAGAGAGAGTAGAACCTCCTGGAAACGTAGAGATGCTTCTCAAGAAGAAACTAGGCTGATATAAACAGCTCTGTAAGTTGTGGTGCATATGGAAAGCCAACTGAAGCTCAAAGATAAATACTGAAAGTTTTGGATTGGAGAGTCACTCAAATTTAGATTCTGTCAATATTAGAAAGTATATTACCTTGTAGGAATGGCAGAGCTGAGATTTAAACCTAGCTGAGACTTCAGGGTCTCTATTGTAATGATCTTGACTACTCCACTATACTATCCTCCAAGCACCAGAAACAACTATGATTTCATTGAGAAAGGCCAACAAAGAAACTCTTTCTTTCGTTGGTCTGTCCAGGCCTTTGGCGACCTCTACACTTGTGAAGTTTTCACATGTTACTAACCTAATTTTCCTCGATTGTTTTGAACAAACAGGCCATTTCTGGGCACCCCAAGATGCTGCCCAGAATCTCCCCCAATTGCCTTTGCCTTTAAGAGGTACAGAGAGACACCGAGCATTTAGTGCAGGGATTTAGAGCTGAGGCTCTGCCAGGAGAGAGTGCTTCACAAAAACGCAAAAAGTTGAGGGGCTTAGATGTCCTTCCCTAATGCAATGTCAGTTCAAAGCTTACCGGCTTCATTCAGACTTTCCTTTCATTTCAAGTGAAGGCAGAGAACAAAAGCCTCTGCACGGATAAGGGGAACACATAGCAGGAGAGATTCAACTCTCTTTCGTTTCAGAAGTAGGATGTTCTGACATAAAAAAGCAGATTGGAAGAAAAATGCCCCTGGTGGGGGTGGGGGGAGCAACTGGCAGATGATAAAATCACTGGTATGAGAGGTGGAGAAGACCGATTAAGCCCTGTCGCCCATTCTCATTACACTGCTGCCTCCGGTGGGCTCTGAACTACTCCCACGGGTCTCACTTTAAATAACTCCCACGACACGACTTTTCTCCCTAGACTCCGTTTCCGACCCAACTATTTAAAACCTCTCCCTGACATTCAACCTGCTTCGCTCCGGTCAGTTTCATCTTATTGCTTTAGCTATTGAATCTGTTGGCAAGCCAAACCACTTCTCTCCTGCAAAGTACTTGTATTCTTCAAACATCAGTGACATTATTTTATCTCTTATTCTGATGACATAAAAGTAGAAAAATGATAATTTGAACATCAAAGATTTCAACCACATAAAAGGTATCTGTCATCCTGAATAGCTATAAATGCTTTCCGCACTTTCCTCTAACTACTGTTGTTCAAGTGCGGTAGAGACTTTTTTTATTACAGCAGAGGAAAAAAGTGCTCCAATCATTTGACTGTTTTAGGTGAGTCTTCTCTAGAGGGTCGGGGTGATTATGACTTCGGAGTTAGTCTTCAGCTGTGTAGATTACAAATTTACCCATGGAGGATCAGGCCCCAAGAGATACCTTATTCAAAGAAGATTAATTAAGACTATGAATGTCATCATTTTTAATATTAAACATGTTTGGTTTAATAGGATTGGCCATCTATGCGGAATATAAGTCCACACTAGTAACCCATTTAGCAAGATCCTGTTAACTTTCAGATTTTATACAGAATCTGACCTTCTCACCACATCAGCTCCCACTGATCTGACAGTCCCATGCTCTCCTCTCTGGCTCAGGCAATAGCCTTCCACTAGTCCAACATTCTTGCCCTTCCACAAACTATTCTATCAAGTCAATGTGAATCTTATCACTCTTATGCTCAAGAACATTCCATAGCTCCTCATTTCACTGAGAAAAAAATAAGCCAAAGCCATAGAAGACCCATTATTATCTGGACCCTACTGGCTCTATTGACATTACTCTGGCCATGCTAGATGGCCTCCTGGCTTTTCTTCCAGCAGGTCAGGCATGCTCTTTTTAGAACCTTTGCTCTGCTTTGTTCCCTCTGTCTGGAATAATCTATATTTCTAATTCATTTAAGTCCTTACAGTTTTGATTCAAATGTCACTTTTTCAATGAGCCCTAGCCTGATCACCCTATTTCAGTTTGGGATAGCACCTCAACACCTGCCTTCCCCATTGCTTTTACCAAACTGTATATTTTCCTGGAGTACTCATTCACATTGAACAACCCTTCCAAAATGTGATCACTTGTCATGCATATGGCTCATTTTCTGTTGTTTTTTTTTTTTTATATCTGTTCCATCACAGCAGAAAAGCTGGTTTGTTTTGTTCACAGATATATNCCTAGAATCTGTTCCATCACAGCAGAAAAGCTGGTTTGTTTTGTTCACAGATATATTTTGAGTGCCTGAGTAGGGCCTGAAGCTCAACAGATTCTTCTTGAATAGAGGAACAGAAGAATGACTTGATTGGGGCTTTAAGTGATGAGTATGGAAATAGATAGAAAGTAATTACTTCCTATTAGGAAATATTTTGATCAAGTTGAAGTAGTGTGATGTACCATATTGTGTTATTTTAGGGATGCCATTGTTTAAAGAGTATGGATTAGTCAGATATCTTTCTACCCTGAAAGAAAACTGACTCTTTACTGGCCTTTGTGCACATTTCAACATCTTGTACATATGTAGGGTAAAGAATATATTTTTTGAAACACTGGCTTTTACTTGCCTGAATATTTTATCTCTTATTCTGATGACATAAAAGTAGAAAAATGATAATTTGAACATCAAAGATTTCAACCACATAAAAGGTATCTGTCATCCTGAATAGCTAATAAATGCATTTTCATTTAAATGCATTTATTAGTCCATGATTTAAAAAAAGAAAGTCTGAAAAGACTGCCTTGCATTTCAAACTCGTGAACCACACACATCACTTTCCATTTGGTTTATGAATTAAATATGAATTATACCTGAAACATTGCCAAGAGTGTGGTCCCAATCTGGTCCAGTGAAAGGAGGAAAGGTGTTTCCCTGAACCCTTTCCCATTCATTATCATCATTTAGATCCTGGATCCAGAAACAAAAGCCATCTTCAAAATTACAGTTAATTTTCTCATAATCTGTGAATTAAAAAAAGAAAACACTTCAAATGTAGTCCCCATGTGACCAGTTAGAATAAATTGCACTGAAAATAACCTAACCTTATAGGGTTTATAATTAAGCGACATGCACAAGATCTTTCTTTTTAATTTATCTTAAGTCTGTTTCATTCCATTTAATTTAAAAAAATCCAGCTTTATGTTACCAACTGTGTGAGAATAATATCTTTCTTACACCCCATTAATACTTTAGCAAAGACAAGCTTCTTGGTCTTTAATTTTTACATCTTATTTCCACTGACTTACCTACATAGACCTTGTCCCATATTTTGCTTTCTCCCTATTACTAACTTTAATACTCTAGTCAAAATTAAGTTAATGTAGAACATTCACAGAATTAGTTTTATGCTAATTAAAAAAATTTACTTTGAATTCTTGCAGTATGTAAAATTTAATTATTATATTGATTCATATTTTTCTTAAATTGGTTATTTGATTCTTTTCAAGAACATCAACTATTTTCTAATTTCTCATTTTTTCTAAATATTAAGTAGAGATAGAGGTATACAGAAGAGACACTCATTAAAGAATTTGTATAATAAAACAGATATAAATTTGTTCTAAAATTTTAGGTTCTGCTACTTTTAAAATTCTATTATAATATTAAAGCACCTGAAGATTCAAAGGCTAAAGAATAAACAATACTTACTACTAAGTTCTCTGCTGTTAAATGCAGTGTATGTTGCATGAAAGCCAATATAATCATTTTCATCTGATTCTATAAGAAAAGTGGCAGTGACTTGGTTGGAAAAAATTCTAATTGTGCCAGGATTAGTTTCCGAGAGAGACGCTACAAAAGAAAATGAAAGTACACATTTATCTATTCATTCATTTATCAATTGATCCATCCATCCATCCATCCATCCATCCATCCATCCATCCATCCATCCATTCATCCAGCCAGCCAGCCNAATTGATCCATCCATCCATCCATCCATCCAGCCAGCCAGCCAGCCAGCCAGCCAGCCAGCCATCAATCTATTATCAATCTAATACCACTCAGGTAACTAAAAACATTAATCCTATGATTAATTTAGTTTNAATCTATTATCAATTTAATACCACTCAGGTAACTAAAAACATTAATCCTATGATTAATTTAGTTTAATTTAAATGACTGCTCCTAAGCATTAGAAAATCAAATTATAATACATATTTATGGCTTGAAAAAACAATTTTATTTTTAATTATTAGCTAAATACACCATATACATATAAATATATGCATTCTGTACTGAAAATGTTTGTCTAAGAAACATGCAAGTTAAGAGGTTATAAAACTAAAAGTTAGTTTAGCTCTATCAGGTATTTATCATGCTATGCCATCAGGGGCTAAACTCAGTTACAATAATAGAAACAAAAGTATTTTGTGGGTTCTCTATCCATATAACTGTAGGACCTCAAAAGGTGACTTGAGGATTTTTTTCTACTTTATATTGATTTTTAAATATTGACTAATCTTGATTATATTATTTCTATTGCATATTGGTTTTATCATTTTTTTGTCTTGACTNAAGTATTTTGTGGGTTCTCTATCCATATAACTGTAGGACCTCAAAATAATACTTGGTGACTTGAGGATTTTTTCTACTTTATATTGATTTTTAAATATTGACTAATCTTTATTATATTATTTCTATTGCATATTGGTTTTATCATTTTTTTGTCTTGACTTTAACCTACATAAGGAATATTTTTTCTTAATTTTGATTCTCAAGGGTTAGAATAGTATTTGGGATAGGAAAAGTACTCATATGATAATTTACAGACTTATTGTTATATAAAATTTGCTTTTAAATAAATTTATAATTTAGCACATGCGTTCTCAAAGGGGATGATATTTCTTCTAAAGGGGTAAAACTTGGTTCTCAGGGGGGAAAATATCTTAATTTTCAAATGTATGAAGTCCAGGTATGCATATAGTATGTACACAGATATACAGAATATCTAAAATATTAAACTTTCATGGGAGAGCAAGTAGGTAAAAAAAAAAGTCTAAAAAGGTTCCTTAGTAAGAGTGATGAAAAAAAAGGNTAATATCTAAAATATTAAACTTTCATGGGAGAGCAATTAGGTAAAAAAAAAAAAGTCTAAAAAGGTTCCTTAGTAAGAGTGATGAAAAAAAAGGTGGTAAGGAACAATGGGTTAACATTTTAGTTTGATAATCTGAACTGGGCATCCGATTTTAGGTTTCTGAAAAGTACTGCACTTGCAGGTTGGAGACAAAGCACCACGGTGATTTATTTGGTTTTAAAAAAAGATCTTTTATGAACTATTGAAATTCTGTGCTTATCATTAGAAAAAAAAGCGATACATAAATGATACTTTCAATAGAATCTAAAAGAAATAACATCACGAACAAGTGTTGATTCACATCTCGCTCTTTTTCTCAAAAACGCTGCAGGTCATTCTTCCAGTATTTTCTCACAAAGAACCACATTGATTATTTAGTCTCCTCCCACCAGCATGTATAACTGTATAACCCAAATAATTCTCACATTGAAAATCTTTTTAGTCCATAAGTGTCTAGTTGCCTAAAGGATGTGAATATTCTAGAAACTTTGCTTTGAACCCACCTACCTCTCTCTTGCTTTCTTTTGCACAGCAATGGAACTGTTTTTGGACAGTGGCTTCTAGTTGGATCTGAATGTGGTACCGGTCCCGTGGCACCCTGGTTTGTTGGACTGTGTTGGGTTCTCACATTTCCGAATGTTACTGTGCTAGTCTAGAGAGTCCAGGGGCTATGTCCCGAGGCCTGTTATCCTGCTTCAGAGGTACACACAAACTTCTGCAAATGGTGTAGAATGTTCATGTCTATAGAGACTTGGTGAACTTTCATCAGATTCTTAAAGTCTCCTTGACTAGAAAGAGCCCCAGGACCGCAGGTGCAGTGGGGGGCATGTAACTGATGCACCCAGAAAGATAGGAGCAGGTGGTGGTTAAGAGGAGGGGCTCCAGGGTCAGCATGAGGTTTAGTCCCGACTCCATGTCTTACTAGACTTCTTCATGTCTCAGTTTCCTCTGTTATAATAATACTTTCCATAAAGGTTTGAGATAAAAAGTAAAAAAGTAAACTTCCGTGTGTTACAGTGACTGGTATATAGTAAATGCTCAATAAATGCCGTCATTTTTCCTTTTCCCAACTGGATTGTAAGCCCTGAAAACAGAGATTATACCTAATGCTTTCTGTGCCTCTGCCATTCTGCCAGAACATCAGAAACTTTTAAGCACTATTTGGGTGTCAGAGTTAACATATAAGCAACTAGAGTAATAGAGTTTACTTACATAAAAGAATCAGGTCTGGCGTTGAAAGAAAAATAAATTTCCTAATAATTTTTAAATGCTGGGTTTTTCTATAGCAGGTATAATAAATTTTTAGACATGAATTTCTTAAGAAAACTCACTGACTTCTACTAGAAAACCCTCAATATTTCTGTGGAAACTAATTTACATAAACTTGCCAAACAGTCACATTTAAATGTGAATTAACAGAGGCTCTGGGCAAGTAGATCTTGTGAAAGAGGAAAGCATGGAAGCAGGATTAAGATACAAGGGAATTTGAAAGGAGGGTAATGGGCAGGAAAGACAGGCTTTCTACAGTATGATTCTGAAGATCTAGCTCCAAACTATTTATTCTGGCCAATTTACAAGAGAAGAAATTCTGCCATTGAAGTATATGGTCTTTGTGTGTTATAAACATTTTGCTGAGTGCTCATGATTAATTGGATATGGTGCTGAGTGCTGGAGGCATCAGGAGAAATAACCAGGTTCCCCTATTAGAAAACTTCAGATTGGTGAATTATAGAAAAATAACTTTGGAATTGATCTAAATGGGAGAAATGCCGTGGGGGCATTGAGGAGGTATGTAAGGAAGGAGTCTTTAATTTAGCTGGGCACTGTGACTGGAGAGTCTTCGAGAGCCTCTGGAAGGCCGACACTTTAAACAAGTGCTTGTTAAACTTTTCCATATAATCCTATCCACAGAGGCGAGTGAATGGGTACCTGTAAGTGAACACAAATGTGTTCTTCAGCACAAAGTTAACGAAAATGCTTGACTTTGGAAAATATTTATACGTTTTATTTAATGCTATATCCATGACATGATCATTTTTGTTGTAGGTTAAGTTGGTGATTCAGGAAGACCCACGCTGTTTATTGTACGTTTGGCTACATGTGTGCGCACTCCTGTGTGCTTCACTTTTAAAAGCATCGCCTTGAATTGTTAAGCTGCACGACTAGGGATGTGTTATCAGCAGTCATTTGGGAGTAGATAGCAGCTAAGTGCTTGGGATATAAAGAACAGCCTAACCACTACACACTCAAACAGTTTCTGGGCGTGGCGATTAGAAATACATTTCAGTGTGCTCACCCAGGCTATTTTTATTCGATTTCTTTGAGGATGCACAAAAATATCTATGTATTTTTCTGAACAAAAAATTAAATAAGCACACTTATAATCTTCTTCCACTTCCATACCCAGTACTGATAATTATTACCATCATTGAATTGAATATTGTACCTTCACCACTGCAGGTTAAAGAAAACACTTTTGAATTACCTTTCCTATCAACCTATTCTGATTTATTTCAATTCCCATAATTGTTTGGAAAAGACTCTATTGCACTCTAAATAATCTTCTTTTATGCAATGCCTACCTTCCTCTGGTGCTTTTTACCAGTTAGAGAACTTTTACATCATGACTTTATAAAAAAATGACTGAATAATGCCTTTAGAATTTGTTTATACTGACTTAGCCCAAATCAAATATATAAGAATGATTTTATGGTACTGTATACTTACGTTTTATTGTAATTTCTCTAGATAATGTTATTTTTCCTATTTAGTTAAAATGTTTATATATTTTCAGTGTGATAAAGATAATTACAGTATTTGAGATATACATTCTGAACTGGAATTTAATGAAAGTAAATTTTGCATCTCTCGCATAAAGAAACTTGTTAAAATAGAAAAATATAGGATTGTAAGTCAAGAATGCAGGTTTGGAATTATTCTAAAAAATAATTTAGGGTTCTGAGAAATTATATTGATCTTCATTAATTACGTTCTATAATATCATGACGTGCAAACCTGTTCGTTTAAACTTAAACAAATACAACCTTTTTAGAATATATCAGGCATTATGCTAGATGCTGGGCAAATATATTATTGCCTTTCTTGAGAAAAGGTATACTTTTTCATTTTAAAATGTAATTTTAGTACTCAATGGCATTTTTCATAGTTTTCCAAGTTAAAACTAAATTATTTGGCTTTCAAAAATTTAAAATCAATTTATATTTCAAAACCATCTTAAAAATTAAACTACTTATTTGTTATAATTTAAATGTGCTTTCATATATTTTTTATATTTAGATATTTAGTTTCTTTATTGCATTTTATCATAATTATTTGTGTATTGTTCACATCATTATGCTTAAAGATTTTAAGATTTATTTATGAATGCTTGATAATCTAACCATATGAAATAAGTAAAAGTAGCATTTAGGGAAATCAAGGTATTTGAAGACTAAAGGAACAGGAGTTCCTTACACCTATCACTGTGGGGCAGTTAATCTCTATGAATCGAGTTTTCATCATGTGTAGAGACTATAGCAGCACCTACGTAATATGGTTTTAGAGAACACTTATTGAGTTAAATTAAAGTGCTGAGAGTACGACTTTTCACATTGCCAGTGACTGATGTAGACTAAAATTTATTACTATTATCACATTAGCCCTTGGAGGAACGTATATGGACTGGCTTATTTGTCCATCTAAGTAAATATTTATGTTGACATAATGTTAAGGGACTGGATTTATCGACTACAGAAATAAGTAGATTATGAAATGTCTTGGCCCATTTATTAAACCAGATGTGCCTTACCATGAGTCCATCTGCTTTATGTACACTCGCTACTGAATCTGGACTTGGGGCCTTTGAAGCACAATGAAGACGTGCATCGTGTTTGCTGCCAGAGGTTTGGGGCCTGGCCTCTGCCTCCAACAGTATTAACTAGCTCCGTGGACTCGTGGTCACTTAGCTTCTTACCCTCCATTTCCCTCTCCTGTGACGCATACTTTGCACATTTACTGAACATATTAAGAATATCCACAGACAGCACTCAGTACTGTGTCATTGTCGCACCAGTAACACCCAACAAGAAGCGCACACTCTTATCGAATACTTAACTATGTCTCAAGTCAGTCGATCAATCAGAAACATTCACTCGACGGAATCCACCTTTGATTTCTCACAAGCACCATTTGAAAGAGAAATTATTAAAATAGATGCCGTGACCGCATCAACTCGGGGAACAGGTGCCACCTGCAGTCTCATCTCCGCTGTCTGACCTCGTCCCAGGCGTGAGGACGGCCGGTTGTTCCCTGCCTGCCCCCCCGTCCCCTCCACCGATCCCATCTGGCCCTGGAGTTGCCCTCCGGGCCTGCCGCCTGCCGTTCTGCGGCCAAGTGGAATGCGTGGGTGCGTGCACGGGAATTAGTGCATCCCTGCTGCCTGTTTCCATCGGCGGCCGGCACGCCGTGACCAATGGCTATGTGGTGACAATGCTACCCCCCCCCACCGCCGACGGCCTGCACCCCGGCTGGCCGTCGCCTCACCCACTGTGCCAGCAGCCCTGCGACGGTCTGAGGAACAGACGCGTGTCGAAAACGGGAAGAAGGGCCCTGAGTTTATAGCCTGGGCCGTATCGGGGAAAAGAGTACAGTCGTTTTCAGTGTTTGCTTGAGTTTTGCTTAACGGGAAGACGTAAAAACTAAGCATAGGAACCAAAGATGAGGTTACATACATTTTTGGAAAATTCCGTGATCTTTAAATAACAGCAGTTGAAACAGAATCATGTGAAATGGTGACTATTTTATTACTGAGAAGACTGATTACATAGAGCACTAAATTATTAACTTTTTACAATGAGTACGAGTCGTTTTGTTTATGTTCCTTTTAGAAACCCAAAGTTCGAGTCTGCATTTAGTTTACAATAAAGAGAAAGCACGTCCCTCCAAACAGTTTCTCAGATACTTTCATTCTGACAATGGACTGTACCCTTGTTTTAACTTACCTCTTAAAATCTTGCTTGAACCCACGCCTTCATAAATATTTAATGTGTCTGTATAAAATACCTTAAAGGAATCGAAGCTCAGTTGAACGGATAGTCCTTGGTTTACACTAAAGTAAAAGCAAAATATAGGTTAGGTTACTCCATTTAATAATCATCACAACGCTGAATGCATTCCACAGGCTGAGTGTATTTTTCTAGTTGTACCTAAAAAAAACACATAACATGAGATCAACACTCTTAACAAATTTTAAAGTGTATGGTACAGCGCTGGTAACTATCAGGATGTCGTCCGGCAGAGCTGCAGAATTTTTCCGACGTGCGGGACTGCAACTCGGCCCGCCGAGCAGCACTGCCCACTCACCCCCCAGGCCCCGCAGTCGCCTTCTACTTTCTCTCCCTGAGCCTGAATGCTTGAGATGTGTTACTCTGGTTAAATCTCCTTAGTGGTAATAGGCCTGTTCGCATTTTGTGTTTCGTCATAATTCAGTATTGGTATATTGTCTGCTTGTAGGAATTTATCCATTTCTCCTAAGTTACCCAACTTCTTGGTGTATAATTATTGAGTCTCTTATGATTCTGCAGCATCACCAGTTGTAATGTCTCTTTCACTTCTGATTTTATATGACTGTTCTCTCTCTTTTTTCTTAATCTAGCTAAATGTTTGTCGGTTTTGTTAGTATTCAAAGAACAACTTAGTTTCATTATGTAAAACTGTTTTCCTATCTCCTTTAAGATTTCCCCTCTAATATTAATCCTGTCTCACTTCTGCTCACTCCGGGCTAGCTCCTTGGGGGTAAAGCTAGGTTGGTCACTTGTTCTCTGTTCCTTTTTAATGTAGGCATTTATTGCTACAGGCTCTCCACCTGGTGCTGCTCTCTCCCCCCCATGATTCTCACAGATGGAGCTCCCGTCTTCGCTCGGCTAAAGAGACTTTCTGATTTTTTTCTGGGAGCCCTGGGAGGGCGGCGGGTTTCTGCTGAGAGCGCCTCAGTCCGTGCGCCCCCTGGTGTCCGCACGCGGCACTGCAGCCTCCGGGCTCCGCGCGCTCGGGCTCCCGCTCGGGCCATCGGCGGTCCCGGGCGGCG